CACTGCTGAAGCATGAAATAATAGACCTGTTTTCTCCTGTAATGATTCTTGGCTATTTTTCCTGCCAGCTCACCAACCATGTGGGTCTTTACAGGCAGATTATCAGAGAAATGCTGGTGATAATGAGGTTGTTGGCACAGAGATGGATGTCCAGAGACCCGGGACAAGCCTGAAAGTTGCCAATGAAGCCCACAGGCATGCAAAGCAAAGCTGAAAAAGAAAAGCAGGTGAGGCTGGCAGGTGCAGGGGAGATCCAGAGTTCTAGAATGCACACAAATCACCTGGAGATCTTACAAGTATACGGATCTGTTAGGTGGGTGAGGCATGAGAGTCTGAATTTCTAACAAGTTCTCAGGTGACATTGATGCTACTGGCCACTAGACCACATTTGAGTAGCAAGAGTCTAAACGGCACAGGTGAGAGATCCTGGCATTAGACACAGGACACCTGTAGCAAGGGAATTATAGACAGTGAGTCATTGACTCACATACTCATGAGTCATCACAGCGCACTGGGGGCCAAAAGCCTAGGGAGGAGGAGGATGCATGAAGGGTAGGCAGATCCACCCAGAGGTACAAGCTTGAGTGACAAGGGAAGGTAGATCCCACTGGCTGTAATGCAGAGTAATTTTAGATAAATCTTTCATTGACTCAATGTCCTTATCTAAAAATTGAAGAAATCTGTTCGAAATGGCACACTACTTGCAAGTGCTTTCAGGAGACCAGTGCAAGCTCCTTGCCTTTGAGGTGACTTTTCCACTAGTCTTAGGACTGAACAGCCAAGTCAAAGAATCCCAAGTCGGGAACACCTTGAAGAACCCCAAAACCAGAAATTCTGAATTGAGGCTGATCATAGGAATCAGCTGGAATTATTTTAAGAAAAACACAGGCTCCAAGGCCTAATCCCTAGGGAATCTACATTTATTGAAAGTTCTCCAGATTGTTCTTACATCCATTCCTCCATTGCAAGCTCCATTTCAACGCTATATTTCAAGACTTGCCCACTTCACTTCCAAGTACCTCACTACCTGCTCTCTGTGTGCTTCCTGTCTCCAACCTCTGCTGCTTTGTCCCAGCCAATTTGACTAATTTATATATATTTTTATTGCTTTTTTGATGATCCAATATTGATATATTATTATTATTAAGTCCATAGTTTACATTTGGGTTTCCTCTTTGTGTTGTGCATTCAACGAGTTTAGGCAAATGTATTGAAGAAAACCAAAAGTATTTCTCCCAAAATATAAAGGAACGATGAGCTGAAGACAATCAGTATGTGGAGATCTCTCTGCCTTCTCCTTGTTTGCCTAGAATCAGGACAAAGATTCACAAACACCTTTTCCCCCTCTTCCCCACCTAAAGATAAGATGCAAATCTTGTTTGTAACACTGGGTATCAGCTCAAGGACAGCAGTGCTACCGGAATCTGGGAGCAGACTTTACTCCTTTTCAGTTGTCCTTTTGGTAACCTGGGCACTTGCTGTAGTTTGGTCTAGAATGTTCTCCATGGGGTGGAACATTGGTCCCCAGTCCATGGAGCTATGGGCAGGCAATGGAACCTTTAAGAGATGGGGCTAAGATTTTAGGTCACAGAGGGCACTTGAAAGAGTCTGTGGGACCCTGGTCTCTCTCCCATTCTTCGGCTTCCTGGGTGCTCTGAGATGAGCAGCTTGTCCCACCACGCACTCCAGCCATGATACACTGCCTCACCACTTGCCTAAAGCCATGGGGCCAACTGACCCCAGATTGTAGCCTCCAAAACCATGAGCCAAAATAAACCTTCTCATATGAAATTGATTTATCTCAGGTATTTGTTCCAGTACTGGAAAGCTGACTAACACTAATTTCTTCCCACCTGTCACTTTTACAAAATGTATTGCTTTCTTCTTCAAGATCCTTTATAAGCCAGGACACTAAGCCATTGCATCAGGTTACTTTTTTTTTTTTTTTTTTTTTTGGTACTGGGGATTGAACCCAGGAGTGCTGAACCACTGAGCCACATCCCTATCCCTTTTTATATTTTCTTTACAGACAGGGTCTCCTTGAATTGCTTAGGGCCTCACTAAGTTGCTGAACTTGTGATCCTGCTTCCTCAGCCTCCCAAGCTGCTGGAATTGCCACTTTGTTCCACTCAGGTCTCCCATGTAATGTGCATTGCACATATTAATAAACTTGCCTGTTTTTCTCTTGTTAATCTGTCTTTGGATATAGGGGACTGTCTTAACCATGAACTTACGAAGGATAAGAAAAATTGTATTTCTCCCCATTGGAAATGTGGGTATCCCACTTTGAATTCCCACTAGCAATTAACAAATTTTCCTATTGTTTGACTCATTTTTTCAAATGCCATATTGATCTAGACATTCACTTGTTTAAAAAACTTCCATGTTTCTTTCTCTGACAGCCTAAAACCCTGTTATATTGGTACTAGGGATTGAACCCACCCCCAGACAGGGTCTCATAAGTTGCCCAGGCTGGCCTCAAACTAGTGATCTTCTTGCCTCAGATTTCAGAGTAGCTGGAATTACAGATGTGTGCCACCATGCTCTTCTTAATATTTAAAAATTTTAATTGACACACAATTATACATATTTATGGGGCACAGTATGAAATTTCAATACATGTATATAATACATGATGATTAAATAAAGGTAATTGACATATCCATTATCTTTAAACATTTATCTTTGTGTTGGGAACATTCAAAATCCTCTGGACTGCCTGTTTTGAAATATACAACCAATTATTGTCAACCACAGTTACCTTACTGTGCTATAGAATATTAGAAGTTATTCTTCCTATCCAACTACCCCCCTGAGCCTATCAACTATTCTTTCTCCCACTTCCTTCCACTCTTCCCAGACCCTATTTTGCTCTCTAATAACACAGTTTTTAAAACCTCCACATATGAGAACATGGCGTATTTATCTTTCGGCACCTGATCAATTTCACATACACAATGACCTTTCCTCACATTGTGTAACAGTTTTTTGTTCACTTCTTGTTATCCATCTTATAAGACAAAGTTAAAAGTACCATTTTTTCCTATATTTCCTTAATCACACTCTCTTTTCCATGTACAACTAACTGCTAGCCTCTCCTGCCATGTTGGTGGTATCCTGATTTATCAAAGAACTTGGATAAATGTATATATTTTCATAAATGCTGTAGTGTTGGGAAGTGGGGCCTAAAGAGGGGGGAGTGTGGATGCTGAAGGCTCCACCCTCATGATTGGGCTAATGCCCTGTTCTCAAGAGCAAGTTAGCTCCCATAGGAGTGGATTCATCCTCAAGAGAGTGGGTTGGGGTTTGGAGTGTAGCTCAGTGGTATAGCACTTGCCTAGCATGCATGAGGCTCTGGGTTTGATCACTACCACCACAAAGGAGAGGGGTGGTTATAAAAGTAAATTTGGCTTCTTCCTTTTTCTCTTGTCCTCTGCTTTGTTATGAAGTAGCAAGAAGACGCTCACCAAAAGATAAGCAGATGCCAGCACCGTACTCTTAAGCTTCTCAACCTCCAGAACTGTGAGCCAACTAAATTTCTTTTTCTTAAAAGTTACTGAGCCACATCCCTATCCCTCTTTGTATTTTCTTTACAGACAGGGTCTCCTTGAGTTGCTTAGGGCCTCACTAAGTTGCTGAGGCTAGCTTTGAACTTGTGATCCTCCTGCCTCAGCCTCCCGAGCTGCTGGAGCCAGTTTGCTCCACTCAGGTTACTTTTGAACTGAGGTTTCTCCCAAGTAATGTTTCTCCCTGTCCCTAGCACTCTGTTAAAGTAACAGAAAAAAAGTCTTTTGGGTGTAAGTCTTCTCTTTCATCCATGGACAAAGCTCAACACTGCTGAAAAACAAATATAACACTTTATCAGCCAAATGAAACTCTATGTAAACTTGTCTATTGAAATCTTTACCAAGAAAGGTTTTCTGATGGAAAAGAAATAGATTTGAAGGCAGCAAGACACAGAAGGGGGGCAGGCTGGAGAAGAGGAGGCTGGGAAGAGAGAAGGCAAAACTCCTACTTCCTAATCCTGTTGGCCCTTTATAACGTCCCTGTCACAGATTAGATACAGCTGAGCTGCTGAAGGCAGAGCTTGGAAGGAAGGAAAGAGACTTTGTTTTCAGACACCTGATGGAGACCCTGAATCAGGCAGGCTGCATCCCAAAGCCAGATTGACAGCTTTTGAAGTTATTCCTCTTTGTACAGCAAAGAAAGTGGCCTTTTAAAATGTACCTTTAAAAATATTAGGTCAGTAACACCTGTCTAAAGATAAAATATTATATAGCTTCTTTTAAGTGCATATACCCAAATTTATGGGAATACATACCACACACATTTTTCATTTTCTTAAACGGGATCTACTATATGTGCAGTTAATAAATAACCTTTTGGGGTTGTTTGCTCAGCATCAGGTACTGTTTTAAGTCCTTTATATGAATTTCTCATTTTAGTCTCCCAACAACCCTATTAAGTTCTATGTGCATATCTATCTTTATGGTTTGGATCTGAATGTCTCCTGAAGTTTCAGGTTCAGAGGTGGGGCCTTTGGAAAGTGATTGGATCACGAGTACTCTCACCTCAGTGGTTGGTTAATGTATTGATGGCTGAATGGACTACGAGGAGGTGAGACTCCAGTCAAAAGAGGTAGCTCACTGTCACTGGGGATGTGCCCTGGAATGGTTTTTCTTTTCTCTGGTCTCTCTGTCTCCATCTCTTCTCTCTCCCTGCTTCATGGCTGCCATGAGCTGAGCAGCTTTCCTGCCATGCTGTTCAGTCTCACCCCAGGCCTTGAGCAATGGAGCCAGTCAGTCATGGATGGAGTCATCTGAAGCCAAAAAAAATCTTTTCTCCTCCAAGTTTTGTCCCCTCAGGTAGTTGTCATGGCAATACAAAGTTGACCAACACACCCAGTATACAGATAGTGCTTTAGTTAGTTTTTTCACTGCTGTGCCTAAAAGACTTGACCAAACCAATTTAGAAAAGGAAAAGTTTATTTGGGAGCTTACAATTTCAGAGGTCTCAATCCATAGACAGCCAGCTCCTCCCTCGGAGCTCAAGGTGAGGCAGAACATCATGGTGGAAGAGTCTGGTGGAGGGAAGAAGTTCATACGATGATCAGCAAGCAGAGAGAGACTCCGCTCACTAGATACAAAATACAAAATATATACCCGAAAGCCATGCTCCCAGGGACCCACCTCCTGCAACCACACCCTACCCACCTCCAGTTACCACTCAGTTAATCCCATAAGATTATTAATTCACTAATTGAGTTAAAGCTCTCATAACCCAATCATTTTTCCTCTGAACCTTTTTGCATTATCTTGCACATGAGCTTTTGGGGTCACCTCAAGTCAAACCACAACAGATAGGAAACTGAGGCATACAGAGGTTAAGTGGTTGGTTCCAAGTCAAATAGCTGAAAAGCTATAGAGCCAGGATTTGATCCCCAGCAGTCTGATTGTAAAATTCTTGCACTTATTCTCTCAAGCAGACTTTTTTCTTACAGTGGTTCTATTTAGTTTTTATTTTTAATCAAAAAGCATATTTTGGAGCTATGATTTCATATTCTATAATTCCATATTAGTTTGTTTCATTATTTTAATAGCTGCATAGCACATTAAATTTCACTCTGTGCACTCTTTATTTTATTTAATCATTTCCTATTGACATTTACATTGCTATTTTTTCCCCTCTCCTACTATACTAAAATTGACATCTTGATCTTTTTATAAGGATCTTTTCACATGTACACAGACTCTTAGAACTATAATTGTGGAATCAAAAGTCATGCATGGGAAAACCTGTGATTGATGATTGCCAATTTGTTCCTCAATTCACACTCTCTCCAACTGTGTATGAGAATATCCATTAACCTAGAATAGCTCTGAATATGAGTAATATTTTTGGTGAGCAGAGCTATTTTAAGAGGCCACCAGCCTCTTTTACTTCTTTCTCCCAAGGAAGTAATAGAGGAAGTGTTTGTGTGGGTGGGTACAAAAGACTAGGTGCCTCAAATTCCGGTCACATGACCTCAACCTCCTGCTTCTGCGCTCCTGTGCCACACCAAAAAGACCACCTGAACAGAGAATAAATCAAAGGAGAATATTTTAAAACCGATGAATTTACTTACTGGATTAATTATTTAAATTGAAGTACTATATACTGACAGTAAAGTAGTCAAGTGCCACTGCTTGCATGGACAACAGGATGATTTTTACTGAGTACTACTGAGATCTAGACATAGGGCATGTCCAGAATCCAGAACACTTACCACCCCTTCCCAAATGAAATCCACATTGGGATTTCTTTCACTATAGAGTTGCTTTGCCTACTTTTGAGCTTTATATAAGTGAAATTCATAAAATAACTTATTCCTTTGTTCCTGTTTTTTTACTCAGTAATATTTTTGAGATTCATCCATGTTGTTGAAAGACATAGCAGAGTATTTGTTTTCACTGTTGTGTATATTTCATTTTGTAGATATACCCTTGTCACAGTAGGTAGGTACACATGAATAGAGGGCTGGGGGAAGGGAGAACAGGACTCACTCCTCCTTGAGTGTCAAAAGACCACTCCACCACCTCAGCTGATGGAGAACCCCACCCATAAATTGTGTTCACCTGCCATGGGTTTCACTTAGGTGCCGAAGGGAAATTTTCCAACATGGAGAAATCAGCATAGGTACGTTGAGCTTTCCCACTTTTCATTTTCTTACTGGGTGTCTTTAGATTAACAGAAGTTTTTAACTTTAATGGAGCACAACAGCAGCAATGTCCTCAAATACAAAATATATGATTCCAGACCAAATATAAAATCCCACTATGTGTAAAACTCTGAACTGTTTCCTCTCTTGGGATGACCTGTTCCATGTTCCCTGTGGGCCATACTTTCACTTCACTAAACATTTTTATACTTATTCTATACTTAGCCTCTTGACTAGAACCTTTCTTTCAAGAAGACAAGAACTGAAGAGTAGTATCAACAGTAGCACCATCATCCAATTACCCATTTGTGATGTTTTCAGTTGGGGATATTCTTGCACATGTCTTTTGGTGAACAGATTGGATATATACTGAAGAATGGAATTACTGGGTTACAGGATTTGTGTGTGCTCAATTTTAATAGATATTTCCAGTTTTTGAAAGTGGTTGTACCAATTTGTACTACCAGAGACAGTGGAAGTATTTCTCAATGTTCTATAGCTCACCAACTATATTAGACAGGGTTCTTCAGAGAAATAGAACAAATAGTATAGATATACATATATGAATATATACACACCTATACATATATGTATACAGACATACATACATGTATATACATGTTCATATATATAAATGGATTAGTGTATGGAGAAATTTATTATGACTCATATAATTATGGAGGATAATAAATATGATAAGCTATAATATATATATATATATATATATATATATATATATATATATTATAATTCCAAACTGAGTCCTAGTCCAAAGGCCTAAGAACCAGGGGAGCCAATGATGTGAATCCTGGTCCAAGGACAGGAGAAGACTGATATACCACCTCAAGCAGACAGGCAGGAAGCAAAAGAGGTGAATTTCTTCATCCTCTGTTCTTTTGTTCGATACAGGCCCTCAATGGATTGATAACACCCATCCAGATTGGGGAAGATCACCTACTTTAATAATCCACTGATTAAAATGATAATCTCATCCAGAAGCATCCTCACAGACACACCTAGAAATAATGTGGCTACTACCCATGACCCAGTCTACCTAGCACATAATTAATCATCAGTGCTTTCTGTTATTAATTATTTTTTAAAATTTGAACCATTTTGCTGTGTGTGTACAGATATATCATGGTGGTTTTACTTGCATTTCCTTGATGATTGCCGAGGTTGAACATTTTTATATGCTAATGTCCATCTGGATATTGTTTTCTGATACACATCTCTTCAAGACTTTCATAATGTTGCTTTTGTGTTGTCTACTTTTCTCTTATTGATTTGTAGAAATTCTCAATATATTTTAGATAAGTCCTTTGTTGGGAGAGGTATTACAAACATCTTTCCCACTTTTCATTTTCTTACTGGGTGTCTTTAGATTAACAGAAGTTTTTAACTTTAATGGAGCACAACTTATTTATTTTTAGGTCAGTTTGTGTGTGTATATAAGAACACTGTGTACCCAAATCTATAAAGATATTTTCTATATCAGCTTTTAGAGACTTACAAGTTAACTATCACATTTAGATATAAAATCCAACTGGAATTGATTTTATTAATAGTACAATGAAGGGATAAAGATTCATTTCTCCTTCACATAAATATTCAATACCTCTAGGTACCAGTAAGTGAAAAGAATATTCTTTCCAACTGCACTGTCATAAATTAAATGACCATATATGTGGTGACCTCATTCTAGACTCCCCATTCTTTTCCTTAGGTCTAATTTGGTCTTCTTGGGCCAATAGCACATTTTTTAAAAGTACAGTATATTATAATAAACTTGGTATCTGATAGTGTATATATGTTTTGGGCTTGTTTCTTCTTAAACAAAAATGGCTGGTGATTTTATCAGAATTGTATTAAATTTTAGAATTTGAGAATTAAAATTTGTATTACACTCAGTCTTCTAGTATACTATGAGATATCCCTGCATTTATTTAGGTTTTCATTAATTACTCTTAATATTTGTAGTCAATATAGAGCTCCTGAAAATCTTTAGTTCCAAGCTATTTGACATCTTAGTGCTATTGTACATGGCATTTCAATTTTTAATTGATGCTATAAACACAATAGAATTGTTTAAAATTCACCTTGAATCCAGTAACATTGAGAAATTCACTTAGAAAAAGTAGTTTGCTCTCCACGTTCAAAATCATAGCACCTGGCTATGATGATGATGATGATGATGATGATGATGATGATGATTATGAGTATTAGTTCTTAAAAATTTTGCTATTTACATATCAATTTATTTTTCTTACCTTATTGTACTAGCTAGGACCTCTAGTACCAGAATAAGCAGAACTATTTTTTTCCTCAGCTCAGGAGTAAAACCTTCAATAATTGATCATTGATGGGATGTTTGCTGGAGTTTTTAAAGATTTATCCTTTAGTATATTAAGACAATTCTATTTTATTTTTAATTTGTTATTTATCACAGATGGGTGCCGCATTAGAATACTACATATTTTATTTATTGTGCTTATCTCCCTACTAGAATGCAGTCTTTCCCAGAGCAGGGATTTTGTCTGTCTTATTCTCTGTTGTTTCCCCAGTGCCTATGGTGAGGCTCACAATGTTGTGGGGGTGAAATGAAATCATGTACAGCAGCTGGAACAGCACTCAAGGCTCAAGAGAATCTCAGACTGTAGTGGGTTTTTCCATCATTGTTCTGACCATGTCATGGAGGCAGGAGGCTTCTCAGTGGCTCACAGCCTGTTCAGGGGAAACTGGGGTCGTCCACTATCAACAGCATCCACAAGCAGAGTATAATGAGGTGCCAATTTGGGCCCTTCAGATAAAGCTTTCTGAAGCATCTCTTCTTGCCTCCATGCTGACTATTGCTCTATATACTCCCAGAAAGAGCTAGAAACCTCCCACAGGTCACACTAGATCCCATCCAAACATGACCAGCACCTCATTACCATCATGATGTAGGCCCACTGGAGGGAATTGAGAGGACAGCAACAGCTCCGAAGGGGACATCTGATGGGCTGATTTATGAGGCAAGGTTAGAGGGAAGGTCAAGGAGAGTAACTGTGTAGTGTGGCTGGCTCGAGGTGGGTGTTTCTTGAAACACTCCGGGATGAAACTGAGAGGAGATTTGAGACTGGCTGTTGAGGAAAGTGTCCCTGACAATGAAAGCAGCATGTCAGAGGAGCGTTCTCTCCAGGGAGAGTGGGAGCACACACCACTTAAACAGCAAAGGATGTGCACGACTCCACTGGATAAGATAAAGCCATGTTCACTGCTGCTGATGGGAACTTCCACCCCCTGCCTGAGATGGACCCAAACAAGGTAGCTTTAGCCTCTAGGACACTAGGATATCAAATAGTTGCCAAAAAGAGACGATCTTGCAGCATATGTAACTTACTCAAATT